GCCTGGGTACGAGGTTGAATTGATTTCTCTCGGGGCTTGAGCGCACTTAAAGACACCCGTTTTCAAAATTACGCGACGGCCGAAAATAGAGTTAAACATGTCACACGGTCACGAAGTTTAAATTATTTCCAACTTTGAGTTTTACGGTTCGTTATCGATGTATATTGCTTTGTATGCTTTAAATAAAAAAGTTTCGAAGGATTTTCAAGAAATTTTAGTGAAAATTATTGCAAAATTTAAGCACAACCAACTCTTAATCATATTCCGCTTTTGTCTATACTACTGATCATAAAATTACCGTTTGATACACAATTATATTCGAGGTTAAGTTGTTCTTTTTCAAACTTTAAAAGTCATTCACGACACAAATTTCTGTTGTTTAATTTATTTTAGTTTGTAGCTATATCTAGGATTCTAGCTCATTTTGGTCGAAATAATGTTCTTTTAGGTATTAATAATACGGTTTATTAAAATGTATTTTGTTTACGTTTGCTATTTTTAGCATAGTCTCTCTTGTATTTCTTGCCGACAATTATTCTTCGGGTAGGTCACGTCAGTTTGAAAACAGGTGTATTACAGCGGCTCTATTGTTACAAGCAGGTACGGCGGTGTCTACATTCATATTTAAAACAGTCTTAAAAACTCTGCTTCTGTCACCCGCGTAGAAAGTAAACAACAATATTTTCAAGTACCAAGCTTAAGAGCAGGCGTTTTACGCAGTTGTATGCTTCATATTAGCAAACGTTATCCGTATATTTAATATCAAAAATGTTCCATGAGAAATTCAATTTAATCAATAAGACGAACTTTAGAAAAATTCACGACATATCATCGTATTTACACATATTCTAACGTCGCGAGTATTCTAATGTGTGATCTATTATGATTCTGAGTCTCGGTTTAAGCGCATGGGCCGAACCTAATGCAAAATTTTAACGTACATTATCATATGATTATGATGTACTAGCAATTTAGTAGCCTAGTAGAATGTCCGATATAGTGTGGCTTTCATTTTGGCACGGTACAATTAACTCCGACGTCTAAATCAGTTGCCGAACTTGTGCCGTATTTAATTTCATTCCGGTTTGGCGCAAAAGTTCGAAAAGTTCGCCATCTAAACCTTAATGAATTATTTATTGCCATTAACTCTCATATGCAGTCAATGCTGGCAAGCGTCCATTCTCATCCCACACGCGACGTTGTTTACATTTAGCAACTTATGCTAGAGTTTCCTTCTGTACAGGAAAGTTCTCAAAAAGAAAGGATGGATGTCATTTTCCCCATTATCCTTCTGCTGAAAAATTTAGTTATCCTCATTGTAATGTCAGGACAATCACAGGCAGAAAGATCTTTGAAAAGGCAAATGAATTTTCGCAAAATAAAACATCATGGAGGTAAGTTTTTTTACTAACCTAATATTTCACTAGTCATATTATAGTCATATCTAGTCAAAATAAAACATCATGGAGGTAAGTTGTTTTTTTACTAACCTTATATTTCTCTAGTCATATCTAGTCATATCTAGTCATATTACTAACCTTATATTTCTCTAGTCTGGGCCCAATTTTGGATCTTGGATCTTTGATCTTGAATAAATTGCAGAGCTTGATTAGCGGGACTAATATTTTTAACATATATAACTGGGAGAATAATTGTCCCCCAATGAATTGGACTATTCCCCCACAGTCACATTAGTTCTGCCCCAGGGAAAATTGCTGCAACCATTGTTTTCGAGGATGCAGATGTTCCCGGGATGAAACCCCGAATACCCATGCATGCAACCACAACATAAAACTGTCACATACGCAAAGTCATCGTGATTTTCCGAGAGATTTAAAGACATGTAGTCATAAATTTGCAGAACTGAATATTAAAAGTTAATTTGTTCGTTTTATTAAAAACACTCT